GGAAAGACCCTCCCCTCGCTGATCTTGCCTGGACCAGGGCCATGCAACGTGTCCTTTGTTGGGGCCAGTGGCCACGTCTGCCCGAACAACCCCCACAAAGCATCTGACTCTTTGTAACTTGAAGACTATGAGTCACGCTGGGTCATCTTCCTAGGGAGCATGGGCTGCAATTTACTCTGTTGGGCCACACAGCTGGGGCCAGGAATGGTTCAGAGGGTTTAAGGCGGGAAGAGGAAATGAAGGGGCCCAGCACTAACCCTCCCAGAATCCGCGTTTGTTCTGTTTAGACCAGACGGGCTGTCAGTCCTTAGCAGAACTGCGGGTCTTCAGCCTGTGGCCACCAGGTAGAGCATCACAGTCCAGCTAAGGGAAAAGACAGCTTCCAGGAGAGCAAATAAATAGCCCAAGTACTTTCTGAGGGGTTAACCTATGGAAAGGTCTGTTTGTTTAAAACCCTTTCCCTCTGAAAGTCAACAAACCCAGTGGAGGGCAGAGACGGTCTAGTCCCCTGGCAACAGCGAACCTTTCACAGCTCCCATAGTACTTGGCACAGCCAAAACTTCAATCCTCAAGCCAGGCTCATTTGCAGACAGAAACGCTTTATAGGCATTGCAGGACATAAGACAGGGGACACCTTTTTTTTTTAATTGACAAAGTTTCAAATATGTTAAGCTGCCATTCTAAACTGAACTAATAAACCAAGCTCCCTGGCAGCTAGTTTTCTGCTGCATTCAAAAATGCTGGGAAAAAATTTTGTGCCATTACAGCGCTTTTTGGTGAGAGACTGTCAACTTTGCTCCAGAAAAGCAAACTATGTGTTCAGGGCTATGGTTCTATTTTAAGTGTCTAAATTGTTAAAACTGTACCAAATGAGTGGGGTTCATGTGCAGTTTATGTTTTATGAATGTACAGTTATGATACACAAAATACCCCCTTTCCCCAAAAAGCTAGCAATTTTTTTCTCCTCTAAGGATTTATGGTGCCTGTGGTTTCCCATAACTCTAGCCTGCCGTGGAAAAGCTTCTTGTGCAGCCAAGCTCAGGTGCATCCTGTAGATTGGATTTGGTTTTGCTGACAGAAAAAGTCCACATAGTCATTAGGAAGGTTTCAACAGATTCTGTAAAGCAACTTCTTTGTATAGAACTTTAAAAGCGTTCCTTTCAAGCTTCCACCAAGCTCTGCCCCCTGGTGGCCAGTGAAAGAAAAAGAGGTATAGAAAAGTTGGAGGTGAGTTGGTTATCTTAGCACTGCTTCCCCACATGAAACCCTGGGGGTCATGCAGGGCCCATGTATATCTAACTAGAGACATTGCTAGTATAAGATAATTATTGGCTGTTATGATTTCTTTTTATAATTAGGTCTCTAGGAATTTATTTTAGAAATTTAATTCAAACAAGAAAACAGCTACATGGATGAAGATTTTTATTACAATAACATTAATATTTGAAAAAAAAAGAAATAAACTAAGCACCCCAAAACGCCATAATGTTTGCATAAAACTGTGGAAGTGTGATTATGAAATCTGAAACCTAGCATCAAATTATCTTCCTTGGAATACAGCTATCTAAAGTTATATATGCTTATAATGAGCAGTAGAAAGGAGGCCAATGACAATATTTTTACCCTCCTATTTTACTTGTGTGTGTGTATGTGTAAGTTTGTGAAATTAAAAAAAAATCACAGTATTTTAGAGATAATTTTAAAATGAATTCTTTTCTTTTTTTCTTTTTTTGGAGATGTTTCTGCTATAGGGCATGTGGCCCCCACCAGAAAGAGACAGAAAGTGAGAAGTCCCCCCCCCCCAGGAGGATGGCCATGCCGCAATCCCTTCTCCTCCATTCTCCTCTGGGATCTTGGGCACGCACGCACACGCACCCAGCATGAGTTTAAGCCACTGGGTCTGGGACTCTAACTGCGGTCAACTACATGGGAGTCCAGTGACATAGCCATTACGCTAATTGCTGGTCCCTAAAAATGAATTCTTTATAACTCATATAGAACATGGACAAGTGGTATAATTTTTTTTTTTCCTAGAGAGTTTTATTGTTGTTGCTATAGGGCACATATGCTCACTGGAGAGAGAGAGAGAGAAAGTGAGAAGTCATTCCCGGGGGATGGCCACGCCACAATTTCTTCTCCTTCGTTCTCCTCCTGGGATTTTGGGCAGGGATGCACACATGCCCAGCATGTTTCAAGTCACCAGGTCTGGGACTCGAACTGCAGTTGGCCACCTGAAAGTCTAGCGCTTCAACCACTATATCACCTGCTGGCCCCTGTGTGAAAGAATTCTTGGGGCCAGCAGGTGGCATGGTGGTTGAGGCGCTAGACTCCCCACATGACCGAGCTTGGTTTGAGTCCCAGACCTGGCAGGTAGCTTTCTCACTTTCTGTCTGTCTCACTCTGGTACATGCCCTATAGCATATTAATAATAATAGGGGCCAGCACATGCACGCTGAGTGTGTATGTGTGCATGCCCAAAATCCTGAGAGGAGAACGGAGGTGAACGGATTGTGGTGTGGCCATTTCTTGACTGGGGACTACTAGGTGATGTAATGGTTACATCCCTAAATTCCCTCACGGCCAACCACAATTCAAGTCCTGGACCTGGTGACTTGAAACTCATGCCCGGTGCGTGTGCATGCATGTCCAAAGTTCTGAGAGGAGAGTGGAGGAAAAGGAACTGTGGCATGGCTATCCTCCCTGTGGAGGTGATATCTCAAAAAAATCTCTAAAAGCAAAAACAAAAACAAAACTTACTGACTGTAAGGGCTCATAATAAATGCAACTCTAATTATAACTGAATCTTTGAATCTGAAGTGGTGAATGTTTTTTCCCTTTCTTTTCTTACTCTAGTATAATGGCATGTGCTTACAAGGGCCAGCTGGGGTGCCTGGTCGAGATGGCAACCCCGGGGCCAATGGCATTCCAGGTACCCCTGGGATTCCAGGTCGGGATGGATTCAAAGGAGAAAAGGGGGAATGCTTGAGGGAAAGCTTTGAGGAGTCCTGGACACCTAACTACAAGCAGTGTTCATGGAATTCGCTGAATTACGGCATAGATCTTGGGAAAATTGCGGTAAGTAAAGTCTGAGCTATTTTAAAGTTGAAGCAAAATTTTAAGTTATTCATGTGACTATGAGTGTTAATTTTAAGGTGAGATTTTTATTTGATTCTTTTTAACCAAAATACTTTGGGGAAAAAAGATGAGTAGGTAGCATGTGACTTTTAACTTAGACATTAATGAAAACAGATAATAACATTTCAGAGTTAATTTTTTATCAAGATGTTTCTAAATCAGAAATACCACCTTATCATTTTAACCATACTATCTAAATTAATTTAATTGTGTTTTTTTGTTTGTTCGTTTGTTTGTTTTTTAAATTCAAGAGGGTGCCTGTATTTTCCAGAGAGAGAGAGAGAAAACACTCCTTAAAGGGGGGTGGTCACCCTGCCGTCCCTTCTCCCTCATTTTATATCCCACCAGGTTCTTGGGCACGCACACAAGTGCTTTGTATGATTTCAAGCCACGGGGGCTGGAATTCCAAGCACAGCTGATGTGGAATCTGACTGCCTTAACCATTAGTCTAAGGCTAACCATAGGGCCTCTTAAGCTTATATATTGTAATGCAAAGGGGACAAGGACAGCACAGGTGTCCGTGTTAGACAGTAAATAGCTAGTTTGACCCTTCCTGGCCTTCAAGTGAATTCAGAATTAAATTAGTCTACGAAATTTGAATTAGTCAGGCTCCAGACATAAAGATAGGAAGAAATGATCAGGTGAAAGGAATTATCTGGAAGTGGGAAATCCATAGGCGTTTGCCCTTTGTATGCCCAGCTTATTAAAATTGTCAAACTTAGGAGAAGTTAAATAGACCAGGGGAGATGTACTGCGGTGACCATTTAAGATGATTCTGTAGCATTTGGGGAGGATGGAAGGGATTACTCAAAACTAGCATGTCTGGAAATGCGTTCTGATGAGTGAGTCAGTTACTTTGATTAGTGTTTGCTTCCAAACGAATTGGCAAGTTCAGTGGGATGGGATAGAGTCGAAAAAGTTGTACTATCAGGTCATTGAGGAAGTCACGATGTGTTTTTCTACGCAAGAACATGTTCTGACTTTCCGATGACCCACTATTTGTAAACCTCTTTCTTCCTTAAATTGACCAATTCTCTACGTGGTTCCATGTCTATAGTATATTATTTCATGGTTTCAACTATCATTACCATCAGGTAAATAGAAGAAATATTATTTTATTAAAAATCTAAGGTTTTAAGATGTAGTCTCTGTATTATCCCTATCCCCACACTTCAGCTTTTTCTGCTCTATTTTCTGTAAAAGAGTTTGAGACTGTCTTGATTTGATTTTTGTGTGATAGAATTTTTTTTTTTTTGGAGAGGTTTTCGCTATAGGGTGCGTGTGCTCGCCAGACAGACAGAGAGAGACAGAGAGACAGAAAGCGAGAAATCACCCCCCAGGGGGGATGGCCACATCACAATCCCTTCTCTTCCATTCTCCTCTCGGGATCTTGGGCACGCATGCACACGCGCCTGGCGTGAGTTTTAAGCCACCGGGTTCGGGACGCAAACTGCGGTTGACTACGTGGGAGTCCAGCGACATAGCCATTATGCTAACTGCTAGTTCCCTGTGATAGAATTTTCATGTAACTTCTAGGGTGACTATGACCTTGTCTGTGTTCACATGTGATTTCTTTGGAGGTCTTCTATTAAAATATTGCCTAGTTATTTAAATACCTGACACTGATATACGGGTTGCTTATTTATCAGCAAAAGTTGCTGAGTTCTATCTAAAAGCCATCCTTATGGGTTCTGAATTATTAATATGGTTTCAGTTTCTAACAAGCAATGGTCAGAATGTATGAGAGCCTTCAGCAAGTAAAGGACAGTAGGAACTAATAGATAAATTTTGCAAAGACCATTAAACAAACGAATAAGGGAACGGCAAATGGCATAATGATTATGTTGCTGGACTCTCATGTAGTCAACCGCTGTTCGAATCCTGGACCTGGCGGCTTAAAACTCAAGCCGGGGGTGTGTGTGTGCATGCCCAAAATCCAGAGAGGAGAAGGGACTGTGGTGAGGCCATCTCCCCTGGGAGGGTGATTTCTCACTTTCTGTCTCTCTGTTTCTCTCTGTCTCTCCAGTGAGCGCACATACCCTATAGCAAAAATCTCTCTCTTAAAAAAAAAAAAAAATGATTCTGTAGCATTTGGGGAGGATGGAAGGGATTACTCAAAACTAGCATGTCTGGAAATGCGTTCTGATGAGTGAGTCAGTTACTTTGATTAGTGTTTGCTTCCAAACGAATTGGCAAGTTCAGTGGGATGGGATAGAGTCGAAAAAGTTGTACTATCAGGTCATTGAGGAAGTCACGATGTGTTTTTCTACGCAAGAACATGTTCTGACTTTCCGATGACCCACTATTTGTAAACCTCTTTCTTCCTTAAATTGACCAATTCTCTACGTGGTTCCATGTCTATAGTATATTATTTCATGGTTTCAACTATCATTACCATCAGGTAAATAGAAGAAATATTATTTTATTAAAAATCTAAGGTTTTAAGATGTAGTCTCTGTATTATCCCTATCCCCACACTTCAGCTTTTTCTGCTCTATTTTCTGTAAAAGAGTTTGAGACTGTCTTGATTTGATTTTTGTGTGATAGAATTTTTTTTTTTTTGGAGAGGTTTTCGCTATAGGGTGCGTGTGCTCGCCAGACAGACAGAGAGAGACAGAGAGACAGAAAGCGAGAAATCACCCCCCAGGGGGGATGGCCACATCACAATCCCTTCTCTTCCATTCTCCTCTCGGGATCTTGGGCACGCATGCACACGCGCCTGGCGTGAGTTTTAAGCCACCGGGTTCGGGACGCAAACTGCGGTTGACTACGTGGGAGTCCAGCGACATAGCCATTATGCTAACTGCTAGTTCCCTGTGATAGAATTTTCATGTAACTTCTAGGGTGACTATGACCTTGTCTGTGTTCACATGTGATTTCTTTGGAGGTCTTCTATTAAAATATTGCCTAGTTATTTAAATACCTGACACTGATATACGGGTTGCTTATTTATCAGCAAAAGTTGCTGAGTTCTATCTAAAAGCCATCCTTATGGGTTCTGAATTATTAATATGGTTTCAGTTTCTAACAAGCAATGGTCAGAATGTATGAGAGCCTTCAGCAAGTAAAGGACAGTAGGAACTAATAGATAAATTTTGCAAAGACCATTAAACAAACGAATAAGGGAACGGCAAATGGCATAATGATTATGTTGCTGGACTCTCATGTAGTCAACCGCTGTTCGAATCCTGGACCTGGCGGCTTAAAACTCAAGCCGGGGGTGTGTGTGTGCATGCCCAAAATCCAGAGAGGAGAAGGGACTGTGGTGAGGCCATCTCCCCTGGGAGGGTGATTTCTCACTTTCTGTCTCTCTGTTTCTCTCTGTCTCTCCAGTGAGCGCACATACCCTATAGCAAAAATCTCTCTCTTAAAAAAAAAAAAAAAGAACAAAAAAACAAAAGTTGGGCCTTATCCTGTGCTCTATAGGTAAAGACTAAAAACCCCACCTGCATTTCACCTCCTCAAACTGTTGCTATTACTCAAAAAGAAACCAGTCAAATGTAAATAAGTATTGGAGCCAGCAGGTGGCATAGTGGTTAAGGTGCTGGATTCCCATGTGGCTGAACACAGTTTGAGTCCCAGACCCGGCAGCTTAAAACTCATGCTGGGGTAGGGACCAGCAGTTAGTGTAATGGCTATGTCACTGGACTCCCATGTAGTCGACTGCAGTTCGAGTCCCGGACCCAGTGGCTTAAACTCACGCCGAGTGCGTGTGCATGCATGCCCAAGATCCCAAGAGGAAAATGGAGGAGAAGGGATTGCAGCGTGGCCATCCCCTCTGGGGGGTGACTTCTCACTTTCTGTCTCTCTGTCTCTCTTTGTTTTCCTGGCGAGCGCACACACCCTACAGCAAAAATCTCTCCAAAAAAACCTCATGCTGGGCATGTGCGCGTGTACGCCCAAGATCCTGAGAAGAGAATGAAGGAAAAGGGATTGTGGAGTGGCCATCTCTCCTGGGTCATGATTTCTCACTTTCTATCTCTGTCTTCTTGGTGAGCACATGCACCCTGTAGCAAAAATCTCTCTTAAAAAAAAAGTGGGGGCCAGCAGGTAGAGTGGTGGTTAAGGGCACTGGATTCCCACAGGGCCGACCATGGTTCAAGTCCCAGACTTGGCAGCTTGCTTTCTCACTTTCCCTTTCTCTCTGTGTTTCCTTCTCTGGTCAAAATTTAAAAATAATAATAATAATAAATGGAAATTAATAAATCTTTTTTAAAAAGTAAATATGTATGGATAGCAGTAGTCTAGATGTAATCCCATGAGGGCAGAGGTCTTGCTTTGTTAATTATTGTAATCGTACCATATAGCACATAATCAGGCTCAGTAAATCTCAGCCAGCCGTTTTTGGTACAACTAAAATTATTCTCAGAGGGGTGAATCATTTTAAGAAAACCATTATTTGACTTTTGTAGAGTTTCTATGTCAAAGTCCCTCATTTACATTACAGAGAAACTCTTTCCCTCTGTGAAAGGTAAGCTTTTTAAATACAGTTTTGGGAAAAGGGTAGTTACATAAAATTGACAATACAATTTCAAAATCTCTTTTTAGGTAAAATGGAAAATGTTAATTAAGTGCTATGTCTGTGTTTATGACAGGAGTGCACATTTACAAAGATGCGTTCGAACAGTGCTCTCAGAGTTTTGTTCAGCGGATCACTTCGGCTGAAGTGTAGAAACGCATGCTGTCAGCGGTGGTATTTCACATTCAATGGAGCTGAATGTTCTGGACCTCTTCCCATTGAAGCCATAATTTATTTGGACCAAGGAAGCCCAGAACTGAATTCAACAATTAATATTCATCGTACTTCTTCCGGTATGTAAAATAGTGACATTGCAGAAGGTGCTTCAGATTGAACTAAGATTAATTTGAATCCCACTGTCATGTTGAGTCACTAGCTTGCTCTAAAAAGAGCTCTAGTAAGTTTTCAGTGCATGATTCTCCATCCTGGGTTGCACTTCAGAATTACCTGTGCATTTTTTAAAAAAAATACCTGAATGTCTGGGTCCTATCTCTGACCATCTGACTAAGACTCTCTAGGGATAAGACCCCGGCATTTATATTTTAAAAGGATCCCCTGCTGATTCTTACTTGCCCAGTGTCAGAAATTAATGAGTTAGATGAAATGGCAAACAGCCAGTAATGCATAGAGCCATAGTTCCCAACCTAGCCTGCACATCACGTTCACCTGGGGGGGCTTTCAGAAATACCTGTATCTAGGTACCACCCTCCCAGGGACTTCTGAATTAATGGGTCTGGGTGCAGCCTAGACAATGGGACTTTCAAAAACACCTTCTGGTTATTCTAATGTTCTATCACTAGCTCCAGTTGATAAGGAGACTTGGCTGATTTCTCTGTTTTGTCCTTTAAAAAAAGTAGATATAGTCTGCTGAATTTGTAAGAGAGAAAATGTCCATATCATTCCTGCATTCTCGGTTTAATTCTACTCAGTATAAGAAAAAAGGCATTGAACTGAACTAGTATTTACTTTTTTTTTTAAAGATAATTTCCTCTTGGTTTTAAAAATTATTAATTTTGTTTATTATTATTATTTTTAATTTTCTATAGGATACATACACTTATCAGACAGAGAGACAGAGAGAGAAAATGAGAAAGTTTTGTTTATTATTATTATTTTTAATTTTCTATAGGATACATACTCTTACCAGACAGAGAGACAGAAAGAAAATGAGAAAGCAAGCCACCAGGTCTGGCACTTGAACCGTGGTCCTGTACCTTAACCACCATACCACCTGCTGGCCCCAACTAGTGGTTACTTTAAATTGTCAAAAAAGAAGAAGAAAATCATTTGTTCTATTTTCAGGTTCCTTAAAGAAAGTTTAGAAAGTACCTGAAAGTAGAAGGATGAAAATATACACCTATTAATCTCATCACCCAGAGGCACCACTATCAATATTTGGTTATCAACCATTTCGGTTTCTTGAGTTTCCCTGGAGGTGCACTGCATGACGACACATACCTGGGACAATCAGCTTAGCTTCGCTTCCCTGATTGCTTGAAGAGATTCTCACTGACAAAGGCTGAGGAAAAGGAAGAGGTCCCCTGACTGCTAATCAGAAGAAATCTTACTTCAGCATTCTCTTACAACCTAAGTCAGATACTGAATCCGGAAACTAATATGGCATATTTATTGTGATGAAATCAAGGGTATCCTTTCCACATTTTTCCTTAAATTTCTACATCCTCAAATTATAAAGAAGATATTTTAACTCTCTCTTTTTGCATATCAAGAAGGGCTAGAAAATACAGTATCTTACCCATGATAATACAATCATTGTTCAGGAAAGCAAAAACTAAAGTCCCGCTCTCTTGTCTCCCCAGACTTCTTTTTGATCAGATTTAAAAACCTCTTCATTAAGCCTTTAGATATGCTGGAAAGGAAGAAGGGCTTTTCCCAGCAGAGAAGCAGTCTCTAAAATAAGAATTTAGATATAAAATATAAAATGTGTTTAGGAAGTGATATGTGTAGACGGTAGATATAAGTGGCTTACTTTCTATTATACATATTCTCTTTAAAGTATGTGTTAGGGGTCCGGAAGGTGGCATGGTAGTTGAGGGCACTGGACTCCCATATGACTGACACAGTTCGAGTCCCAGACCTGGCAGCTGGCTTTCTCACTTTCTCTCTCTCTCTCTTACTCTATCCCTCTCTGGTCAAATTAAGTAAATAAATAAGTGGATAAATAAAGTTGAATAAAATAATACTTAAATAAAATAAGGTGTGTGTTGGGCCAGTGGATAGCATCGTGGTTAAGGTGCTAGACTCCCATATGGCTGACTGTGGTTCAAGTCTTGGACCTAGTGGCTTGAAACTCATGTCCGGCACATGTGCAAGCGTGCCCAAAATCCTGAGAGGAGAATGAAAGAGAAGTGACTGCAGCATGGCCATCTTCCCTCCCCCGGGGGGTGAGTTCATGCTTTTTTCCTCTGGCTTTCCAGCGAACACATGTGCCCTATAGCAAAAATCTCTCTAAAAAATAAAAAAATAAAGTATGTGTTAATATCTTCCTAGAATGTATACATTCATATACTTTATACGTTATTTAACAGTGCATTTTCCAACCATGGAGTAGAAACTCATTTGGTATGATCAGTTGGGTGGAGTGTTAATGAGGAATTTGTTATTATTATCAGGGTTTGTATTAATGTGAATTAAAGCGTACCTCTATAATAAAATCACATTTCTTTGCACATTGATACTCCTTGAGGAAAAGGTAAGGGATACCCTCATAGTCTTATAGTTAGTTCATCAGACAGTGACTTAAAGTTTTGGTTCTACCAGTGGGAGTTTGACAAACCTTTGAGTGTCATCTGTTACACGGGTCCAGGAGGAAAACAGGTTGAGAATTCCTAGTCCAATATATTTTAGGTGCTTAATAACCTGCCATATTGCATTATCACAGCAAACCATGATTTAAGTTCATTCATTCTACAAACATTATTTGTTAAAGGACATGAAGTGGCCATTTGACTCTCCCTGTGTGAGGCTGACATTAGACCCAAGCTTGTCTGATATCCTGAGGTTACAGGCTGAAGTGGAAAAGTTTCTAGGCTGTGAATGTCAAACCTTGGGAAAAACATGAGTATTTGTGGGCATTTTCACTGTGTATGGTAATGAGAATATCAGGTTAAATGGGGTTGTAGGCTCATTCCTTAGTTTTCTATGTCTTTGGAAAGGGCCTGAGTCAGAGCCAGGTCCCTGGATTCTGAGGGATTTGCCCTAGATTCACTGATGCAGTAGTTAATGGAAACAGACTGCTTCAGACCTGCATCCCTGGCGTTCAGCTGGGATGCACTAGCCTCAACCACATGAGAAATCTAGCCAGTTACATGAGGTCATCTGCTACACTACTTCCATGTCAGATCCAGTTTCTTTTTTTTTTTTCCTAGAAGTTTATTTAATTTTAGTTATTATTACCATTTTTTTAAAAATTTTGCTGTAGAGTGGGGCCAGCAGGTGGCATGGTGGATAGGAGCACTGGACTCCTACATAGCTGACTGCAGTTCAAGTACCACGCCTGGCAGCTTGCTTTCTTACTTTCTCTCTCTCTCTCTCACTCTTCCCTCTTTGGTCAAATTTAAATAAGAAAAAGAAAGAAAAAAAAAGAAGAAAGAAAGTTAAATAAAATAATTCTTAAAAAAAAGATTTTTTTATTTTAATTTGACCAGGGAGGACAGAGAGAGAGAGAGAGAGGAAGTGAGAAAACAAGCCATCAGGTCTGGGATTTGAACCACGGTTGGCCATGTGGGAGTACAGTGCCTCAATCACCATGCCACCTGCTGGTCCCAGATTCCATTTCTTAAAGAACCTGCTGACCTACAGTTCCTTTCACCCCTTTACACTTACGTCAAAGGTACCGTGTCTTTTTGCATGTTAGAATGACTCCTGGGTTTCTTGTTTGTTTAATATAGGAGAAGACTCTTTGTGAGATGGAATATAAATTGTATGTTAGTGTGTGAAAGTCCAGAGGACATATGAAAAGGCACCTAATATAAAGCCTAAGAACATAGAGGAAGAGCAGGATTTTTTTTTTTTAACTGTGAGGAAACTTTTGTGTAAAATGGGATTCCCAGATTGAAAGACTGGTATGATTATTGTAGAACTTCTTTTAATGTCATAGAAGTCCTTTCTTCTATTTGAATAAAGCTAACTGTATAGATAAGTGTTGAAGATAGCCTTCCTAAAAATATTCCTGCATATTAAATTAAAGTCTTGGCTTTTAAAAGTGTAGGCTTCCTTTGTTTGGTCACATCAGTTGCTTTTTGTTTTGTTTCGTCTTGGGCTGCTTCTGGAACTAAAAAAATTCTGGCTTCTATGGTTGAAGCCTGTACAAAACTGCCTGTTAAGTTTACATCATAGAATGGATAATCTTTTAAAAATACTTATGTCCCAATTATGAAAAAGAGAACTGGGGTCAGCAGGTGGCATGAAGGTTAAGGCAGTTGGATCCCACATGGCTGACTCCATGGTTCAAGTCTTGGATCCTGTGACTGAAAACACACTAGTCATGTATGTGTGTGTGCCCAAAATCCCAAGAGGACAATGGAGGAGAAAGGATTGAAGTGTGGCCATCTACCCTGGGGGATACATTTTCACTTTTCCCTCTCTTCATTACTCTGACAAGTGCATGTACCCTGTAGCAAACTAAAAAAGAAAAGAAAGAAGAGCATTTATCTTTATAAAACTTTTATCAAGTATTATAATTTTTTTAGAGAGATTTTTGCTGAGGGTGCATGTGCTCACTGGAGAGACAGAGACAGAAAGAAAGCAAGAAATCACCCACCCCCCAGGGGTCAGGGAGATGGCCACACCAAAATCCCTTCCATTCAATTCTCTTCTCAGAATTTTGAGCATGCATGTACATACTCCTGGCATGAGGTTTAAGCCACCGGGTTCCAGATTCAGACGGTAGTCGACTATTTGGAAGTCTAACGATGTAACCATTATGCTATCTGCTATGTCCTGAAGCATTATAATGTTTAATTGCTTCACATTAAATAAAATTATAATCTAGATTTCTAAAGTAGTAAAATTTAGCCAAATGATTTTGCTCTTTGTTCTAATGAAAGCTGTAAATTTCATCTTTGTTTTGCAGTGGAAGGACTTTGCGAAGGAATTGGTGCCGGATTAGTGGACGTTGCTATCTGGGTTGGCACTTGTTCAGACTACCCAAAAGGAGATGCTTCTACTGGATGGAATTCAGTGTCTCGCATCATTATTGAGGAACTACCAAAATAAATCCTTAATTTTCACTCCCCACCTCTTTTATTTTTTTATTATACCTTTGAATGGTTCATTTAAATGTTTTAAAATAATTTTTATGTACACATCTGAGAAACAAAGCTAAACATGTTTATAGACCAAAGTGTGATTTTACACTGTTTTAAATACTGGTATTATTTACTGTACTTCAATCAAAAATGGTACCAGAATTTTTTTTTTTTTAGCGAATTACAATACTTTCTTCATATTCCCATTTCCTGAACCTATAATGTGGAATGTCATTGTGGTCTTTAGCTTTTTTTCCATTTTCTTAGTGTAGCATTTTTAAAATATAAGACCTACCAGTCTTTGTACAAGTTGTAAATGTTGGAATTATTTTATATCCATTAAATAAAAGTTATTTCAGACAATTTTAATATCTTTAAACTATTTGCCACTGTAAATGGAGTTTGTAGTACTTTTTATCTCAAGAGTTGTAAATTAGTGTAAATCTAATTTTATATTTATGCATTTAAATCATATTACTTTTTATTACATGTATACTATGTTTCCATATTCTGAGGGATACAAAGAGAAAGAAGTATGTATGTGTCAGGAAAAGTACCAGCATTTCAGAAATTTTATCTTCTTTTAACAAAGAGGAAAAAGGTGTGGACCCTAGCCTCAAATTACCATTTAGTAAACAGAATCATATATATATATATATATATATATATATAATTAGGGGTCAGACAGTGGCTCAGTGGTGGAAAAAAACCCCAACGATCTGCCAGCCAATCCCACATGGGAAGGTTCCTAGTTCAAGTCTGGAGACCCCCCTGAGAATGCTGGGCCCATGTGTGACCATGGTCCAGGGCTAGTGAAAGGCCAGGGGAGGATCCCAGCTTCAGGACTTTGATGGGGGTGCTCATGTTCTCTCTTGCTCATAGAGAAAATAAACAAGTCAACTTAAAAAAAAATTCCATTCATTAAAAAAAAATAACAACAATCAAGGATTAATATGTTGAGTGTCTAAAAGTGTCGAGGAATGGCATAGTTCAGAGGAAGAGCAATCACTGCTGGCTGAGTTGATCAGAATTCATGAAGGCAGTCTCGGTGTAAGACAGGTGAAGTTAGGTAAATGTTGGGCTTGAATTGGAAGTATTGGTAATAACTCATAAAGTACTTTACCTTTGAGTAAACTACAACACAATAAAATCTTGTGGCTTTGCTCACTGAAAAGGCCTAAAAACAATGACCAGTCCATTAATGCCCAGATTGTGGTCTCTACATACCATTTCCTCCTGAAAGGAACTAAAAGATCCTTACAAAAGTGGTGATTTGGGTTCTGGAGCAGGAAATGTACAATGAATATGAACCTGGGACATCTTGCCTTTGAAAACAAGGGAACTAGGAAAGAGAAGAGCATCTATGAGCCAACTAAAATTGGTTCCCATATCATAAACATCAACAAAAATACTGCAATGATTTGAAATACACAATATGGTTTAATGTGAGTTCAGAATATACTAAAATAACATTTTCTGGTCAACGTACATAGGATGTTAGCAAACCAATTGTTACTTTGAAAATTGGTAAATACAAAGAACTAAGCATTTATTCTGCTTTCTCTGTGTGAACTCTATCTCTGGGTAGCCAAATTGTTCATTAAGGGAAATTTCTCTTTCTGAAAGTATATATACAACTACATGCAATATTATGTATCTTATATTGTATATTGATAGAAAAGAGTAATAGACCATCACTTTTTTCCTTTTTTTTTTTTTAATTGCCAGTGGGCATGTGTGCTTGCTAGAGAGACACAGAGGGCCAGGGAGAGGGAGGAAAAACATCTCCCAATGAGGTGTGGTCATTCTGTAGTCCTTTCTCCTTTCCCCATCCTGTTGAGATTTGGGTCGTGCACACACATGCCCAGCATGTTTCTCAAGCCTCCAGGGTCAAGATTCAAACCACAGGGACCAGCAGTTAGCCTAATGGCTATGTTGCTGGACTCCCATGTAGTCGACCGCAGTTCGAGTCCCGGACCCGGTGACTTAAACTCACGCCGGGTGTGTGTGCGTGCATGCCCAGGATCCTGAGAGGAGAATGGAGAAGGGATTGGGGTGTGGCCAACCCCCCTGCGGGGGGAGTGATTTCACTTTCTGTCTCTCTGTCCTCTCTGTCTTTCTGGCAAGCACATGCGCTCTGTGGTAAAAACCTCTCAAAAAAAAAAAAAAAAAAGATTCAAACCACAGTTGGCCTGTGGGCTCCCTTATCCACTAGGCCACAGAGTTGGTCCAAATATCATCCTTTTTCAATCTCTCATGAATTAAGTGATCTAGCAATGATTACCATTGAATGATAACATTCCCAAAAGAGACAGACTGTGTTGTACCTCTTAATGAAAGTACATAACATCACCCAGGAAGTAATTCTGCAAAGAAATAGTCAAACCTGGACCTGATCTAGCCTCCAGATTTAGTCATTAATTTGTAGGAAATACATGTTCATTGACACCATAGGGATATAACCAGCAAAATGCAGACTGGGAAATTCGAAAGACATCTCGTTTTCTTCAACAAGTAAGGTGCAAGAAAGGAGAGAGAAAAAAATGTATGGATGATTAACAGAGACTTAAGATCATATCAACACACTGCAATGTTCGTTCTTTATTTGAACTCCAGTTCAAGTAAACTATAAACACAAAAGAAAAACTTCCTTGAGATAGTTGAGGACATTTAAACACTGACCCGGTATTTGATATTAGATGTGCTAGTGATATTGTGGTTATTTTAAAACACAGCTTACCTTTTAGAAATACAGAAATATTTCAGGTAAAGTAATAGGGTGTCTGGAATTTGCTTCATAATAATCTAGAAAGGAGAATGGGTGAGTGGGATCTGGAAGAATTAATACTGGAGATAGACAGAATTAACCAAGATGGGTAAAACTTTGACAAATGGAACCAGGAATTACATTTTGGGTAGAGGCAGATTAGTTAAAATTCTGGGGTAGGAAAAAAGTGATGTTCAGAGAATAGATGGTTTGAGTTTAAGGTATGTGTGTAGGAATGGTAAGAGGTAAAGCTGGCAAAGGAAGCTGAGAAAATATAGTGGAGTTCATGAATACCAGCGTTCACTTTTTTTAAAAACTTTTTTTTTTTTTTAAGAGAGATTTTTCCTATAGGACATGCACGCTTGCCAGAGAGAAAGAAGAGACAGAAAGTGAGAAATCACTCCCCAGGGGGGATAGTCACACCTCAATCCCTTCTCCTTTCACTTGGGATTTTGGGCACTCATGCACAAGCACTTGATGTGAGTTTTAAGCCTCCGGCTCTGGGATTCGAACTGCAGTAGACTATGTGAAAGTCCAATGATGTAATCATTACGCCATCTGCTGATCCTACTGGTGTTAACCTTAAATCAGTGGAGATCCTATAGACAGTTTGGGTTGTTCTTTTTTTTTTTTTCCTTAAATGACAAAAACTCATTCTGATACCTGAATGAAAAAACAAAAACTAGAGGTCATAACATAAGAGGCTATAGAGACAACAAAAAGACAAACATCCTAATTTAAAAAATGAGCAAAAGAAATGAATAGGCATTTCTCCAAAGAAGATACACAAATGGTCAGACAGACACCTGAAAAGATGCTCAGCAGAATTAGTCATTATGGAAGTGCAAGCTAAATCACATTGAAACTTTATATCTGCTAGGATGCCTATACTTTTTTTTTCAACACAAATTCATTTTTATTCATTTACGTTTCATTATTTTAAATCCTTGAGGGGTACAGCATCACTCGGATTCTGTGTCCAATGGCCTTAGCAGGAAGGTTGCTTCGGAATGTGGCTCGAACCATGCCACTGTTTCCATGGGCTGGGGTAACCTTTCCCCAGATTACTCTGGTTTTATTTGGTTTGCCACCAGGAGTCACTGTGTTGTTTTTTGCTTTGTACACATAAGCACACCTCTTGCCTAAATAGAATTCCGTTTCATCTCGGGCATAAACATCTTCAATTTTAAGAAGAGCTGTGTGCTCCCTTTGGTTCCTGAGACCCCGCTTATAGCCAGCAAAAATGGCCTTGGACCACAGCCTTCCAGACATAGTTGCCTTGTAGAAGTCCTGTTCCCAGCAGGCCTCAGTTATTTGTTCCCCGCCTATAATTTTTTAAAAATGGAAAATGGCAAGCGTTGACAAGAGTGTAGAGAAACTTCAATTCTCATACATTGCTAGTGGAAATATGAAATAGTGCAGCCCTATGAAAACAGTTTGGTGGTACCTTGATATGTTCAACATAATTAGCTTATGACCCAACATTTCTTTTCCTAGGTATATACCTAAAAGAATTGAAAACAGATGTACAAACAAAAATGTGAACATAAATATCCATAGCAGCACTCTTCACAACAGCCAACAAGTATAAACAACTCAAAATTGTCCAACTGAAAAGAATGAATAAAATATGATGTAAGAATACAATGGAAGATTACTCAGCCATAAGAGGAATAAAGTATTGATATATGTTTATAACAGAAAGAACTCTGAAAATATTATACTAAGTATTGGGACCAGCAGATGGCATAATGGCTATGTCACTGGACTCCCGTGTAGTTGACGGCGGTTCGAGTCCCAGATCTGGTGACTTAAACTCACGCCAGGCACGTGTGTGTGTGCGTGCCCAGGATCTCGAGAGGAGAATGGAGGAGAAGGGATTGTGGCATGGTCATCCCCCCGGGGGGGGGGATTTCTTGCTTTCTGTCTCTCTGGCGAGCACATGCATCCTATAGCAAAAACCTCTCAAAAAATATTATACTAAGTGAAATAATTTTGACACAAAAGGCTCTGTGTTCTGTGATTTGATTATATGAAATACTCAGAAGAGGCAAATCCATAAAGACAGAATGTGGACTATGGCTGTTAGGGACTAGGGAAGGGGGAATGAGAAATGATTGTTCAAGAAGTACACGGTTTCCTGGGAACCAGCAGTTAGCGTAATGGCTATGTTGCTGGACTCCCACGTAGTCAACCGCAGTTCGCGTCCCGGACCCAGTGACTTAAAACTCACGCTGGGCGCGTGTGTGTGTGTGCCCAAGATCCCGAGAGGAGAATGGAGGAGAAGGGATTGTGGCATGACCATCCCCCCTGGGGGGTGATTTCTCGCTTTCTGTCTCTGTCTCTGTCTGTCTGGTGAGTGCACGTGCCCTATAGTGAAAACCTCTCAAAAAAAAAAAAAAAGATAGGAGGTTTAGGGACCAGCAGTTAGTGTAATGGCTATGTCACTGGACTCCCACATAGTCGACCATGGTTCGAGTTCTGGACCGGGCGGCTTAAACTCACGCCGGGTGCGTGTGCATGCGTGCCCAAGATCCCGAGAGGAGAATGGAGAAGGGATTGCAGCGTGACCATCCCCTTTGGGGGGGGTGATTTCTCGCTT